TTTTTCTCTTTCAGATATTTGAATATATATTTGTTTTTTAAATAAACTTTTTATTCATTGGAGAATGCTGAATTTCCAAAAAGCATTAAGCAGCAAAACTGCTTTTTCAGCACTGATGATAATAAGAAATGTTTCTTGATCATCAAATCAGCATATTAGTATGATTTCTGAAGGATCATGTGACACTGAAGCCTGGAGTAATGATGTTGAAAATTCACAGGAATAAATTACATTTTAAAATATATTCAAATAGAGAAGAGTTATTTTAAATTGCAATATTTCACAATATTACAGTTTTTACTGTATTTTTGATCAAATAAATGCAGCCTTGGTGAGCACGAGTTTCTTTCAAAAACATTTAAAAAATCCTATCAACACCAAACGTTTGAACAGTACTGTATTTTTCTTTTTTCTTCCTCTTAGCATGTAATTATTTAACCTTGCACCTATATTGATACATGAGTCACTTAAGCGATGACTCTTTCTGACATCAGTGGAGGAATGAAAGAACAGCTTTGTGTTTGTTCACAGGAAGGGTAAAGAGCAGATTACGGTCTACTTGTAAAATGTGCTGAATAAAACCAGGAAAGGTGGGGCAACGCAATGCATTATGGGTTAACTTCTAGTATCAGATTCCTATAAGCTGCTCAAGAACAAACCTTCCTTTTCCAAGGAAACTCGTATCGTTTTAAGCAAATCAATTGCACATTTATAAAAAGGGTCTGAATTAGGGCTGTTAAGCTATATATTTTTTTAATTCGTATTAATAACATAATGTGCCAGTTAATAAATCTAATTAATCACATATCAATTTTAGCTGAGAAACCACCCCCAAAAAGATGAAGTCATCGTGTTAGATGAGAAAACCATTCAGTAGACATTACAAAAAGTACATTTAGAAAAAAAAATCTAAATTGCATAAATAATGATAATTAATTATTAAAAAAGGAATATTGAAATATGAACCTATTTAAAAAACAAAAAACATATGATACTCTCAAAATTAAAGTCAAACCACTAGCAGGTCACAGCAAGTCACTCAAGTCAGATTCATTCAAACATCTGATTAATTCAGAAACTAATTAACATTTTAATGCATTTTTAATTAATAAAAAATTAAATTGCTCCAAATTATAAATAGAATTAATCAAGTAGTCAATCTAGGTCTGCGCAATTAATCGAATTTCTAATCGCGATTACAAGTATGGATGCCACAATGACGTAATCGTTCAAAGCGGCAATTAATCGTTCAAAGTCCACTTATGTTATTCTGCATGCTTAAGATGCGTTTTTTTTTCTTTCTACATGTTATCTTAAGGGTTTTTCAAATTTTTTTGTTTTAGTATAACATTAGAATACCATTCATATTTTTACTTTTTTTATAATTTAAAGATGAAACCAATCCAATGTATAGTTGACATTTGAGGCTTAATACTATA